GTCTCCTGGAAAGAGACGTATACGATGAAGATTCATTCGAAAAGAAAAACAAACGATTGTCATTATTTTTCACTGCTTTGCAAGATTGATGAATGTAAGTGCTGTTTTGGCAGAATCATGGAGAGCATGATGTTACACAGAATGTAGAATAGGCTGTAAAAAAACAAATGGAATGCTACCATCTTTCAAGTCGCTAACGTAACAGAATCAAGTCAATTCGAGAAAATAGTCCTATTCGCTCCGTGCGTGACCATGGTAGGGGTACATTGAAACGATGCCAGCGTGCGTAGCGGAGAAATATGACAAAATTGGAATATTGGACAAAATTATTTTTACGCATAAATTTTATCAAAAATGCGCGCAAATACATGTTGCGTATTTAATTGTGCTAATAATAGCAATAATGCTGAGTGTAGTTTTCATAGGTTTCCAAAGATTACATATAAATTAGAGAAAAGAAAAAGATGAATTCGTGCTATTAATATGAAAAAGTAAATATCACATAATTTCATTTTTATGCAATTGAAATAGGAAAAATTTAAATAATTTACCTTGAATGATATTTCATAAGGCTTCGAGCTAACTGCAGATGACTTTAGCTTTTATATCATAACTTTTACTATTATTGTTTTTAATTATATGCTCTTTTGCGTGAAAAACTGGATTTGCCAGTACTAGGTTTTTTCATTTCTTTTCCGTTTGGAGTTGAAAAGGTATATTATGATGAATTTTGAGAAACCCAGTTCTTAATTCTACATTTATTTTGTACATAAACTTTAAAATATAGTTAAAAAACTAATTTATTAATAATTGTCAATTTCGCATGTATTCCACAATGTCAAACATATGTCATATGTTTAACCTGAAAATTGGGATTCCAAAATGGTCAGATGAAGGCGGTAGGTGTCGCGTCAGTCACGCACAAAGCGAATAAAAACTTATAATGCCTGCATACAATCGTTGATTAGACGTCAAATACACGATTATTTTATTAAAATGTGTCACCTACAATAAATTTGGTCTTACCTGCAATCAATAATGACAATAACCTTCCTAATGTTACATGTCCAACTTAACATAGGATTTTACATGATTTTGGCTTTGAGTATAAGAATGTTGGAAGAAAAATCATTTTGCTTAAATAAAAAAGAGTAGATGATAAGATGGGGACAAACATATTTATAAAACATAAACAGATACTGCGGAGAAGGTAGCCAAGTTTATTGTTTTTATTTTATATTTGTATGTAAGGGTGGAATTAATACCTGTGATTTAAGAATTGTCAGCAATCTGTTCTGGAATCAAACATCATCTATCCGGACAGAGGCAGGAGAATCCGACGATATCAAAATCAAACGTGGCGTCCGTCAGGGATGTATACTATCACCACTGCTGTTTAACATATACTCTAAGGAAATCTTTCAAGAAGCAGTGGGTGATGTTGAAGCCGGAATTCGAATCAACAGAGAATCTATAAATAACATTAGATACGCGGACGACACGGTAGTATTCGCTGACAGCTCTGAAACCCTCCAGGGGCCTTATTCTTGAATCGAGAGAAAATTTTACTCCCCACTAAGCTAACTCGCTTTTCTACTCCATCATAATTTCTCTCGATTTTAAAAAGCTGTATTTTTGAATACGGGGAGTAGAAAGGAATGAGAGAAACTATGCACAGTGTTGCCGGGTTTTCAATGAAAATTTTAACCAATCACAAAAGTTAATTATTGACAAAGGACAAGATACTGTCAACCATCAACCTGATCACTCCCCTTAGTGGTGGGCCAACCTGCGATTTTTGTGTAGCTGTGACAAAATGTGACTGCTCCAGTATTGTCACTGTGACAAAAAGCAGTGATTTTTTGGAGCAGTTTAATCTTAACTGCTACTATTGCTATCTTTGAATATTCCAAAATATATTTTAAAATTTGTAAAAATTTTCTATCTGACAAAAGAAAAGGGTGCGTTGGTTGGAGGACATCCCGGCCAATTTGAAGATCTTCAACTGCCTCCAAAACTTCATTAAACATAATATAATTCCAGTAGAGCATATGATTGATATCAATATTTTATTAACTTCCGCTTTTTAAAAAACAAAATACTTCCCTAGGTTTTTGAAAGGTTACGTATTGTTATTTTCGCTCCCATTTACAATTTCTCTTACCTACTATCAGTAGAAATTGTTATTCCCTTAGGGAGTAACATGTCTCTCACACATTAGGACCGTTTTTTTTTTCAAGAATACAGCATTTTCGGTTTTAGGGAGCCACGCCTGCTTTTACGTCACTTTCTCTTGCAATTTCTACTCCCTGAAATTCAAGAATAAGGGCACAGGAGTTAATGAACAGAATCACAGAGGTCAGTCAGAGATACGGACTTTCACTAAACACTAAGAAAACAAAATGCATGATGATCACTAAGAAGGAACAGCAATTTGGACAAATCAGTGAAAACGGTCAACAAATAGAAAGAGTAAAAACATACACCTACGTTGGTACGAACGTCAACGAAAATTGGGACCATTCCATAGAAATTAAATGTAGAATAGAGAAAGCAAGATCTGCATGTCAAAAAATGGCTAAGTTATTCAAATGTCATGATTTATCAAAGCCCATAAAAATCAGGTTACTACGATGTTACATCTTTCCTATACTGTTGTACGGAGTTGAGTCATGGACTCTCACAGACACCACCTGTAAGAAAATTGAGGCTTTTGAAATGTGGCTTTATCGTCGCATCCTGAAGATATCGTATACCGACCACGTTACTAATAAGGGTGTTCTGTTGAGAATGAAAAAAGAAAAAGATCTGTTAACCACAATAAAACAGCCAAAATTGAATACCTCGGACATATCATAAGGAACAGCGAAAGATATGGACTGCTGCAACTAATCTTGCAAGGAAAAGTAGAAGAAAAACGGGGACCAGGCAGTCGAAGGATTTCCTGGCTGAAAAATCTACGAACGTGGTTCAACACAACAACCACAAATCTTTTTAGTACAGCAGTGTGCAAAGTGCAGATTGCCATGATGGTCGCCAACATCCGAAACGGATAGGCACTACAAAAAGAAGAAGAATGTAAGGGTATACTTTCCTCTGTAAGAAAAATATTGCACACATTTATCATGAAATAGGTGCAGATACTTATAGAAAGTAGTTTCTAGAACAGTTATTGCCCAAGAGTCCACGAACAAGACAAAATAACTTGAGAATATTTTATATTATTGAAATTAATACAGTGATGAGTGCTTTAACACCCGGCTTTTTAACGTAAGAGATAGAAAACACAGTTACCTTGTGAAATAAAAAAAAATGAAACACATAGAGGTGGGAAATAATCGATAGAAACCTATAATTTACATTACATTGCATTACCACCATCGATAGTCTCACACCTTTAGACGTTAGACGTGGCTATTTGACTTCAGTCATAATTATACGGATAACCTCAAAAATATTTTATTTTAATAATTTCTGATGTTAGAATAAATACTTGAATAAATTAAGATATATTATAGTAAAATACATTCATTAGTAGCGATTTTAAATTATAAATCTTTAAATTTATTTAATAATAAAAATAACTCAACTGAAATATTTGACTAAAATAAAGGTAGGTATCTACCTAAAGGTTGGTTCTGTCCCAAATCAATTAGTGTATGTGGAATTGGTGTAGTAGTTAAGGACGTTGTCTATTAACGAGAAAATTGGGGTTCAATTCCCACCAAGGATAAAATTTTTGTTTTATCAATAAAAAAATAATAGAAAATATGATACATATTAGGTAACAAATTTTCGAAAAACTCATTATTTACAATTTATTTTTATTCCAATGTTATAAAACGGAAATACAAAATAATTCAAATTCAATTCATACAGTCTTCAGTTGTAAATGCAAAATAATCCGGTGAAGACTGTTTATATCAAATCCATCACTAAATTCTCAATGTTAATATCAATTCCTCTGTACAGGTAATGATTTTCAAAACAATTGACAATTGAAAATACGTTTATTTACAATATTTTTTTATTTTTGTAGAATTTTTACTTATTTAAACATTCTTTAAACGTTCTTTTAATTTTAAGGAATTTTTACTTTATTTTCGAAAGTATGACGGACACTTTTTTCAATAAGATATTTATGTTTAACTTTAAACGCTTCTAATAATAGTAACGACTAACATAAATGTTCAAAAGCAAAACGATCTCTGCATGATTTCAAATTATTAAAAAAAGAAAAAAGAAAACCTCATGTAGGTTTTGAACTCTAGTCGCAGTGTCGAATTCTTACCACTAATCCACGAAGGATTGCTAATTATTGCGTGACAAGAGTGTATGAAACTCCTCAAATCATAGTAGAAATTATTCTTGGTTAATAATTTAAAACTTTAGAATAAGTAATCACTATTAATTAAATTATTTTATTAACATTTTTGCTTTATTGTGGTCAATCAGTTTTTACTTTATCTAAATTAAAAAATGAAAATACGTCACACATACGATGTCAAACTGTCAAACATAATAATTATGACCGAGGTGATTTAGATCGAAGCTAACGTCTAAAGGTGTGAGACTATCGATAGTCGTAATGTAATGTAATGTAAATTATAGGTTTCTATCGATTATTTCCCACCTCTAACAGTTTCATCTCCTTTTATTTCACAAGGTAACTGTGTTTTCTATCTCTTACGTTAAAAAGCCGGGTGATAAGGCACTCACCACTGTATACTGATTATTATATATTTATACTATACTTTATAGTATACTGAATAGGTGTATATTATTTTTTTATAATTCGTTTTTCCTCATTTAGATTTATAAACTATTTAAGCATCATAAATATGTATATAATTATTCATTTACGAAATTCCACTAAATGTTTAGAATGCAAATACAAAACAGATTTAAAACATTATCACAAAAGCTATAATTGTTTAAAAATAGTGATAGTTAGGACTATAACACCCAGTAGGTAAAACAATATAAGCTTAAAAACTTACAGACTCCGAGTGTTCTTTTTGGTCGAGGAGCTCCATCAACAGTTTCGACGCTGGTAGTTTGAACAGCTGTAGTGTGTAAGTCTAAAGGTTGGACTAGCTCTGGAGATTGTTCTTCTTTTACATTTTCATTTACTACTGCAACTAAAAGTAAAATAATTAGTTTATAATAATGGTTTAATATACTATAATAATATCAAAACTATATTAACAAATTGTATGGGAAAAGAAGGTAAAGGCATATTAAAGTAAACGTGAATGAAAAGTGTTTTTATATACTGTAATACCTCGATCAGATTCAACTTTTATGTATAATGAAAAATCGTTGACATAACCGATTTTCCAATATTCCAGTATCGAATGTATTTTCATTGAAAGTATTAAAAAAGAAAAAACAAAATGACTTTCAAAGTCTTAGGTTCTATAGTATCAAAATAGATGCCCAGTATCTGGAAAATTCCTAATATCATGGAAAAATTCCATCGTGACAGACATATATAAGAAGGGTATACTAAAGGCCTTAATAACTATCGTCAGGTCAGTCTTTTTTTGTCCTACACGTATACAAACTATTTATAAAGTTAACAACAAGACAAATATTGTCCAAAGTAGATTTATGTCAACTTAAAGTGCAAGAAAAAGAAAGAAAAAAATATACTCCCAAGCCCCAAACGAAAGAAAAACTGAGACAGAGATGGAATTTAGAATCGGGAGAATAGAACTAAAAAGCATAAACAAAAATATTCAAAATCTTCTTCTTCATATACCATGTCCTTTTAGAACGTTGGTTACCCTAGCTATCTTAATTTTATTCACCGCCACTCTAAACAGCATGTTTATATCAATACCATACCAACCTCGCAAGTTCTTGACAATATAGAAGCAAAAATAACAAGAAAAGCTATCTTCAAAAAAACAGTTATAAAAAGATAAAAATATAAGAATTTTACATAATACAAATGATAATGAAGGCAGCAAACAAACCAGCACCAAATGACAGAAACCTAGGCTCAAAATATGAAAAATGGCAAAGCACCATGAGAAGATTAAGTAATTACAGAAGCAGAAAAGAGTGGTGGTAAAGAACTACCAAATAAACTACCGAAAATATTTAATTTACCTATGTCTACATAAACAAAAGTTCGTGAAAAATGGAATAAATCAAAGAGGATCATCATCCATAAAAAGAGAAACACAACTGACTCTGAGAACTATCGACCCATTAGCCTATTAAATTATCTTTCCAATTTATATGTACTATATACATACCCATAAATATAATACTAAGACTACTCGATTTCTATGAACCTCGAGAACAGGGACTCAATTTTCCTCGGCGTATAGTATAAATGATCATTTGCAAAGTCTCAAAGCCTTAGTTAAAAAACGATCGAATATTAATAAACTTTGTGCTGATATTTATACTTTTTTAGAATTTTGCAAGGTTTCCCACATCGTAGATATTTATGGTATTTTAAAGTCATTACAGCAATGCAAAATAGATAAGTGTTATTCCACCATCGTCAGAAATATACATGAAAATGCAACAACTGTTATAAATCTCCAAGAGACCAACAATAAAATAGACATCAGGAGAGGAGTAAGAATCATTTCGTTCTCTTTTATTTTAAAATACTGAACTGGACAGACAAAAGAATCAGCATTGAAGGAGAATACTTAAATATTCTATTTGCGGATAACATAGTGTTAATAGCGGATAAATTAAAAGGATCCAAAGACATTCCGTAAGCACTATTGCAGCAGCAGGATAATTGTGTAAAAATTAACTAACGCAAAACCAGAATGATGACCAGCCTATTCCTGGAGAAAAGATCAAAATAATGTAAAAATAAATTAAACTCATACACAAATCTACATATGTAGGGAATTTTTAAATCGAAAGTTCTTATCAGTTTTAGTAGAAGGCCGTCCAACAGGTATGACTTGCCAGTCCTTACAAATGAAGATGAAACTTTTACCCTTACGAACAAAACAGCCAGATAATTCAAAATACCTCAAAGAAACATAAAACGCTTAATGATTTGCCTTACATTGGGAAACGGAGTATAAAACGAAATGATACATAGAAAGTCGAAGGTGTCTGATGGTATCCAAGGTAGATCTTCCACCCGCTTGTCAGGTGGCATCAAGAGAATTCTGACAAATTGGTCGCAACAGCACACGGTAGAAGTAAATGGAAAAATGCTTTATTTCTTTTCAAAATATTCTCCATAAAAATCAATGTTCCTTGGCAATTTTCTTAGCACTTTTTCCAAACAGACTAAGTAACCAAAAAAAAGTTTTGAATTTTTCAACCGCTTTCTTGGTCATCAAAATTAGTTGTCCGCGCAATTTATTTTTGATGTGCGGGAATAAATGGAATTCGTTAGGTGCCAAATCATGACTGTACTGCGGATAATTCATTAATTCGATGTTTTGGCTGGTCAAAAACTCCGTTGTGTATGCTGATGTGTGTGAACTTGAATTGTCGTGGTGATCAATGATTTGTCTATTCTAATTCGTTTTCTAAATTTCACTAAAAACTTTTTGCAAACAAATGGTTGTATACAATTCAGAATTGACCATCTTGCGGTCTTGTAGTGGCAGTGTAAATACATGACCATTTGTATCAAAGAAACCATATGCATAGATCCATAGTTCGTTACCTGTGTAGATGTTATACACAGTAGTTAATGCACCGCGATCCCATTTCTTCAACATTTCCTTGCACCAATTGACACAAGCCTCTTTTTCACCTTTTGTCAGATTATTGTGATCCAACATGAACAAATAGTTTACATGGCCATATGATCATACAATATCTTATTAATGCCTGTCTACTACAAGGATACTTTAATCTCACGGTATGTCACATGACGATCTTGCTGTATCAGTTCACATACAGCATTGATGGTTTCTAGTGTAACAGCCGATTTAAGGCGACCTTTACAGAATTCATAATGGAGAAAGACGACCACGACTGAATTCATTGTACCAAATTTTTATTAGATTGATATGGGTTTTTGTAAATAAAAAAAGCACTAAACAAGTAAATCAATAATAAAACATGTAAGACTTAAACATGAATCTAGACGCCTAACAAACACCATGCTATCATGAGTTAGGAAATTAACACAGTCCAGAAACTCAGTAAAGATGATAACAATTTGGGGAATATAGGCAATGCTTACTGCACCAGTGGTCAGAAACGAAAATGCAACTAAACCTCTAAAAATCATACGAAGGCATTGAATTTTGAATTTTGCTAAAATATCAATTTTGGAACCAAATAAAAATTTGCCACTCCTTCCTCTGGGCTTCCCCCTAAAACCTCCCCACGCAGGGGGGACAGAAAGATCGATTTTCCAAGAATCTGTACACCGTAGAAAAAAAGTTTTAAATATGAAATGTAGCTAAGATAATTTCCAAGAAAACTTTTTATTAACACTTTTTTGTAGAATGAACCATCAGTTTTGTATCCAAAAATTGCTTTTATTACTATTATTTTTTATAATTGATGGATTCGACCGTTACTTGATGAAAATTCATTTTATGTAACAATAAAACACTGAAAACTTCCACAAAATTTATTTTAAACTATCATTACTACAGCTGTTTCGGCTGATTACCTTTCTCAAGTGATATATCTAAGAGATTGGTATGGTGTAGATACAAGCATGCTATTTAGGGTGGCAGTGAATAAAATTAACATAGCTAAACTATTATTACTACAGTTGTTTCGGCTGATTACCTTTCTCAAATGATCTATCTAAGAGATTGGTATGGTGTAGATACAAGCATGCTATTTAGGGTGGCAGTGAATAAAACTAAAATAGCTATGATGGTAACCAACGTTCTGAAAGGACATGGTACATGAAGAAGAAGAAGAAGAAGTGATCTATTTTTGGCATGCGTTTCTACTATATATAGTCTCTAACAAAATAGGTTGAGGAGGGGAGTAATATTTGTTTCAAGTTGGTTATTCCAGTGCGTATGAAAATGTAGCGACTGCCCAAAAACTTACATCGGTCAAACTAGTAGAAACTTTAATAAACGAATAGCAGAACATAAAATCGCTTTCAATAATAGAAAAACAGATTCTAAAAGACTGAAGAGGACACGGCAGAAAACCTGGTTCCATAGGTGAACATTGAGAACTGTCGCTGGACGGTACACAAATCAAGTCAATATTGTCATCACATTTACTAATTACTTAACGTACTGTTAATGAGTAAATTGTAAATATGCATTTAAAAATAAAATAAAAAAAATTAGCGATAAATACTTAAAGTTTGATTGTACAGTAGAAAATCAATTAGAATAAAATAAAAAATTCAATGTTTAAGAAATGGGATTATTTTTTAATTAATATTATTATTAAAACATTGCATTATTGTAATGTGCATAAAAGGTATAAACAAATTAAAAATATCGATCAAAACCTATCAACTAGAACCAAAGATGCAGAAACTTACATTATTTGGACGTTCATTCATGTTTTTCTTCATGCTCATTTAATGCTATTTAAATTTAATCTTAGTCCTACCTAACCTAAAATAATTTCGTTTTTTCGTTTAAATTCGTGTAAAATTGTCAGCTTTTTAATTTTTAAAAAATATTTCGACTAGTAATAAAGTTATTCTAATTGGTTATTAAACGTTAAAGTAACAGTAATTTTACAAAACAATGGTTCGTTACAAAAATAATTTTTTTAACTTCCTGTGGTACATATTAAAAGCAAAACTATTCACCTTTTAAATAGTACCAGTACAATAAGCATATATTTATTATTTTCTGTCTTGGAGTATAACAAAAAATTACCTCTGGGATAAAATATTTAAATAACTTTCAAGATAGTTGATAAATTGAGGTAACATTTTGAAACTAATTGATCGATTAAGCTGAAATTTCGAGGGTTTATTAAGAAATATAAGTCTTCAGTTTAAAAACAATCAAAAAAGTGTGAGTTAGTTTAAAATTATAAACAATTACCGATTTTGCCCTCTTCTGTAGTTTTTTGGAGGAAAAAATTTTGATAAATTATATAGATTATGTTATTTTGACTATTTTTTCTATTTTTTAGCAGATAAAATGTTTAAGTACAAACATATACTTTTTTAATGGTAATCGATAACTAGAAAAAATCGCATTTTTCGCACTCAACTGTTAATAATTGAAAATCCAGGCTGCAATTTGTCTAAATACTATAAAAGTTTGCTTACAATATCAGAAATCTCGTTTTATAATGAGATGTCCTAAGAAAATCATATTTCCCTAGACTATAATTACTATAAAATAATAAAATAAACAAAAATAAAGATAATATTAATTTGGACTTACCTGATCTTTCTAATCTAAGTGGATTTCCATCTTCCACTGAAACTTCAGCAGCAAACGCTGATACGAAAAGTACCGCAAAAACTACGAAACCCTTCATGCTGATTTCGTAGAATCAGCAGAGTATAGAAAATGTAACTAAAATATTTTTAGACGCTGCCCGGCACTTTTATAGCACCCATCGGTTCTTGGTTCCGGCCGTCACTTCTCTGAGAAAGAAGACCGGTACTTTAACCTTGCGGTAAGATGTGATTAATGTGATTTTGCTTATTATTGCCAATATCAATACACGGCTTAAACAATATGAATATTGTCATAAAAAAGGGATCAAGGCTTAAAAATCTACAGTCATATATTTTTAAGAAAATTTGGGTGTGTTAGAATTCATGTTATTATTTTGTTTAATAATTAGCAGATTTTTCTAAAAATATATCATTGCTTACAATATTGTATTAGTAGCTAAAGAAGTTGATTATATCGTATTATGATTTTTAGTTAAAAAAGTCGAATAATTTACTTGCTTTTCCAAGTAAATAAATCTATTTCAAGTAGCCAAGTCTGGTCATGCAAAAATCATCGATTTCACGGCAAGATTTTTCGCACATATCTGAAGCTTTTAATAGGTGAGTTAAATTGTATTTTTGCTAGGAAAGTTTTGGGGTAGTTCTGATTTTTTTCATTCCATATGTTTTTTGGGGTGCTAAATTCGAATCTGGGGTTTGCGGACAAAATTTCGTGACGCAACATTAAAAAAAAACAGAATAAACCGTTTTTTTTTTCTTTTTTCGGGTTTTTTGCTTAAAACTCGAAAACTATCAACTTTTGGTAAGTGGTCTGTTTACAGAAATTAAAGTACTTGAAATTTTCTACAAATACCAGTATTTAGTTTTTTTTTCAGACGAATCGTTCGGTTTCTAGTGCCAGTTGAAAATTGTAAATTTTTAGCATTTTATGCAAAACCCACTTTTTACATTTCAATATTTAATTTTTATGGATGCTGTCATTTGATAAATGTCACCTAGTTTTCCACACAAGTAATTAAAAAGAAAAAAGGGAAAAATTATGCAAATTCAGTATGTAGGTAGAACTCGTAACAAAATAAAACTTAAAATCTCGTTACTTATGATCATATATTATTATGATTATAAATTATAATATGCAAAATTTATATGAGCCGTTGTCTTTTGGAAGGCGCTGGCTGAGGTTCTTCGATAACGATGAGTCCTGGTTCTGCTTGTTCTGGAAAATAAAAGTTTAAAGTTAAGTCATTTATCAAGAAGAGATGAAGATTGCAAAATAGATTGTGAGATTAAACATACCTTCTGCATCGTAGTGAGGTTCTTCGATGGCATCGGGTCCTGGCTCAGGGTCTGATTGCTCCATCGTCCGCGTCGGGAGTCGTTCTACTGGAAAATAAAAAAAAAAGATACACATATCATATATCAAGGAGAGATGAATGTTCTTCTTTCTTTCTTCAGTTTCTTCTACGTCTATGTCAGAGCTGTCTTCTGGGGGCTCAACATTGTTACACAGTCCTTCGCATGATGCGCATATTGGGGAACAATGGAGTCCCGCCTTCCTGCATCCACAATTGCGTTGACAGTCTTTTTTACATTAACATGAAATGTACCGGAGTATTGAGCTTGGTGCAGGGTCCAAAGTAGTTGGTACTGGCACAAGACCACTACTAGTTTTTTGCCATCCCCACTTACTTGGGTCTTTTTGTTGCTCGTTAGGTGTGGCTTGACCGGATAACCACTGCTGCACCTGATAGTAAACTCTCAGTGAATGTTCTTGTGCAGCAGCTTCAGATGGGGGCAATGAGGAAATGTTGGTCTTATTTTTGAATGATGAAGATACGTATTGTTTATATCTTAAATCGTTTAGTTTTGTCTCTTTTTTTCCATATAGAGCCGTGAGAAACATGTTTCCTGCTGTGGCAATCTCATCTTGACTTGAATTAGAGTATTTGAAAGATTCAATTAGCAGTTTGCAAATCTTTGTTCTTCTGCAGGACTTTAAGAAATTTCAGCTTCCCTTGATTAAACAATGCAGAAGTAGTATCAGAACCACTCATTGCATGCAGGAATAAAATATGATACAATAGGATTTTCTCAGCAGCCATATGAGGGTTGTAGAGGCTTTGCGAAACCTTTCCTTTTCCTGGCTTCAAAAAAAAATACATTTTTTATATCAGGGCTACAAACGCCAATCAAAATGACCAGTAGGTCGATATCTTCTCCCACCACTGTCACATGTTCACTTGACGGGCCATCTCAAGAGCTGTTTGCTTTGAATGAATTTTTGCATCATGAAGTTTCTCCATTAATATAGACATAAACCGGCTCTTGTTTTTTGGGTTTGCAAGAAAACTATCCTGCGACACAGTGGGCACCATCATTTCTGTTAATGATATTGCAGCAGATTGTTTTCTTTGTGCTCTTCTCAATCGTTCTAAACGCTTGGTGCTACCACAAGCCTCGTCAGGGTAGCCATCAAAAACGACAATAGCACTTGATTTGTAGTTTGATTTGTCATTATGATACATAACTTCTGTATATGTCTGCATATGTCTGACCTTGGCGCCATTTTACCCGGTGTAACAAAAAACCCCCGTCGATGACATATTTTGTATCGTTAATACAAATCTAAAAAGTGGGTTTTGCAGTCACACTGGTACCAATTGCCAATTTTCAACTTGCACTTGAGACCGAACGGTTCGTCTGTACAATAACAAAAATAGTAACATTTGTACAAAACTTTAAGTACTTTAATTTCTGTAAACAGACCATTTACTAAAAGTTGGCAGTTTTCGAGTTTTAATCAAAAAACCGGAAAAAAGCAGAGAAACCGATTTCTTTTAGTTTTTTAAATGTTGCGTCACGAAATTTTGTTCGCAAACCTCAGATTCAGATTCAGAACCCCAGAACACATTTGGAATGAAAAAATCAGAACTTCCCCAAAACTTTCCTACTAGTATCACTTTACAGTACAAATTTACTGAATTATAAACTATATCAGAAGTTAAATGCATATTGGGCTTTCATCTAAATTATTTACAAAGTAACCGTTTAAAAAAGGTGTATGTTTTTTACTTATAAACAATTGTAATAACTTCTATATTTTCAAGCTACATACTTGTACGTACAACCATTGGATAGCTGGTAAAACTAACATTAAAAAAAACCTCCTATGACCAATAAGAACGAAGTTAGGGACTATTTAAAAAAAAAATCATTTTTCCATTGTTTATAAACATTAAAAACTAAAATTTGCACAAATTTTGAATGAAAATCTACACTTTATATTGAAACTTATAGCTACAAAATTCATCCAATTTTTCGAAATTTGCAGCCTTAGAAACGAAGGTACTTCCGAAAGATCGACATAGGAAAATGGAAGGGATAACTGTTTCAACTTCTTCAAGATAGGAACTTCAAATTGAAACACGTAGGAAAACTTTACATTATCTCGGCTTCCATTGCAGCTAGAAGCCCCTTTTTTAATCTGGGGTAGCTCGTCGAAATATGAATAACTACATAGTTTTCAGTGACCGGGAAATACCTCGGAAAAATTGAGTCCATTTGAAATTCATTGTAAAAACTTATTTTTTTTTAATTTGGATGAAATAGTCTGTCTGATGGAAGTCTGGTGTTAGTTATATACGTTCTTTTTGGATTTACTGTTTGCTGGTTTGCTGGGTTGGCTGGGCTGTTTGCCCGTTAAACCAATGATTTCTTTGTACTTGTTCTTCTCTATCTATTACTTGTGTTCACTTTTCCAAAGTCCAGTTTTTCTTTTTTTTCCTATTTTGTTTTAACTTGGAACTCTCTCATTTTTATCTGTGACACGCAGTCTTGTTTTTAAGTTTTCCCAAAATAGATCTTTGTATTTTTAAGGTATCCTCTGGATGGCACTCTCCCTCTGTGGATGTGGACTATAATTTCAGTGACTTTTAGATAAGCTTCTCTGTATTTTCAATAAGGCATTTACTTAAATTACTATAATACTAGAATATATGTATCTGATCGGCCTATGGTGGAGCAGTACGGCAGGAGATAAGGGCTTGCGGCTCGGTGATACTCCTCCATAGATCCCTACCGGAAGGGTGTGTGCCGCCTAAATACCGTATATATATATATATATATATACTTAAATTACAATTAAATCAAAACATCACAAACCCTGGACTACCAAAGGTATCTGAATCCACTAGGAGACTAAGTTCCTGTAGCTGGCTGTATACCATGTATCACAAAAAATCGTTTATAAAAGGTATATTTGGGTATTTTATTATATACAAAACTAAAAAATAATAGGGTTTGCTTAGTAAAAAATTTTTGTAATGCCATCCGATTTCAAGAGCGTTATCATATAGGGCGTTAAAGAAAAAAAAATTACGCATTTTTTACGATTTTGCCGAAATTACTGGCAACATTGTAATGAAATTTTATACGAATAAGTATGTTTTGGAAGCTGATACATCCCATGAATTTGTTTTTATATCTGATTCTCATAGAGAGCGCTAGTTACGCGGATCGTACTAAGTATTAGTCAATATAACTTTTTTAAGAGTATAATTATTAATCAAAATGTCAAGTAAACTTAAACATCATTCAATTTTAATCAAAGGCACTCTTGGTAAAACTCGATACTGCGTACCGTTTTCGGAATATTTTGATTTGAAAATTATGAAGTAATAATTGATGCTGGTATAGTTAGTAATTAAACAAAACTCACAAGAAGAAAATTAAATTAATGACTAAGAACATAAAATAAAATTCAATTACAATAAGTGTACAAAATTCCCTCCGTTTTCGCGAATACACAAGTTTTTTCTTTTGTCTAAAGATTCCATTAACCTTTTAAACGGTAGGGGATCAGCTATGATGTCATTAAATTCTTTCTTCCAATTCTTGGCTTGAATTTACCTCTGTAGCATAGACTTTTTCCTTAATATACGACCAAACTGCGTAGTCCAAAGAGTTAAAATCGCATGACCGAGGAGGCCAATGAATCGGAGGTCCTGCACCTCTACCAATCCATCGATTCGGAAAATGATTACTCAACCAATTACGACACATTCTATCGAAGTGGGGTGGAGCTCCATCGTGCATAAAAACTAAAGATTT